CCGGCAGCGTTGTTCGATAACGCTTGCAATCGTTTCTGTGGCTAAAATTGTCTGATATGAATTGATTTCTTCCATAGTGGTACTGTGCCCGGCGAGCTCCCGACAAGCTCCTGGTGCTGACCAATCAGCTACCTCGAAGCTCCTATCGAAGTCGAACGAAGTTATGAGTCGGTCACCTGCTGGGCCAGCGAGGAGGAGGTTCATAAATATCCATTCTCATGGTCTGGTGTCGTTCTCTGGACGAGGTCGATTAGCGAGAAGGAGGTCAGACCCCCTAGTACTCTAGAACCCCAGAACCCGAGTTCCCTATTCCCGTGTGGCGACCATAGCGAGGCCAACAAAGAGCAAGCCGGCCGGTTGAATGTAAAAAGACGCAGCGCTGCCATTTGATCCCTCGTCGCTTGGACGTACTACATTTGCCCGGCAAAGTTGGCGCGGTCGAGCGTCGCTTCATGGAGACTCCACTTGGACGTGATCTTGCGCCGGTGCGTGCAAAACTCGACGCAGCCGTCGCCGGTGATGTCCATGTCGCCGTACTTGCTCTTCGTGCCGTAGAGGCCACCAAACGAGAAGGGCTCGCTACACACGTTTGAGCCTTTGACTAGAAACCAAAAGTCGCGTAATACCGGGGCACGGGCACGCCAATGTTGACGCCAATCATCGCAGCTTTAAAGCGCGATGCAAAGTGCTCGGCATGGCCGCCGTGGCTCGTGTAGATGCAGGCCGCGTTCCCAAACGGCGATGCGTTCTCGATCTTTAGCGCCTCGTCTGCCGAGTGCACCTACCGCTCTCGTTTGTTGCCGGTGCTTTAACACCAAGAGGGTTACCTTGTAGACGGAGAGCACGGGACCAAAAATCTCGTCGTGCATGGCTGCGTCGGCCGGGTTGGTGTGCAAGAGCACGGTGGGGCCGACCCAGTACCCTAACCCGCATGTCGCAACACAAAGAAAGAAAAGGCAGCCTACCGTGGCCCACCGTCTCGGTGGCCCACGCGCGGCCATCGACGAGGATGGTGGCGCCGCTTGCCTCGGCGTCGTCAATGTACTTGAGGATGCTACGCGTAAAATACGGTCAGCAGCCATGCGGCGTCTGGCGCAGAGACGGACCGCTTCTGGGCCACGGCGTCGATGATGGCACCGACCTGCCCCGCGCCTGTCCCGCGCGTCAAATTGCGTGCTCGATGCACAACCGAGTCGAGGAGCTCGTGGCAGTTGCCGACGAGGAGCAAGACGGACGCCGCCATGCAGCGCTGGCCGGCGCAGCCCGCAAACGAGGCCACAATGTCCTTGGACGCAAGGTCCAGGTCGGCATCCGGGAGCGCAACAAGGTGGTTTTTGGCGCCACCGAGCGCCAGCACCCGCTTGTCCAAGGCGCGGCAGCGGCGCGCGATCTTTTGTGCCACGGGCGACGACCCGACAAAGGTCACCTAGGACGATCGGTTATGGTGAGGCCATGGAGGCGAATGGTCCAAGAACGCACGGCTGCCACATCCGGGTGGTCGCACAGACTCGTAACTGCTTCGACTTGACCATGCACAATCTGCCAGACGCATGAGCATCCAGTCTTTAACGATGGAACCAGTATTGGATACCTGGAAGACACCCGGGGGTACGCCAGCCTCGGCAAGGAAGCTCGCGACGCGTGTCATTGTGATGGGCACCTACAGGAACGCGTCATGGATGGCTCGTCCAGCAACGTGGATCGCATGTGCTACCTTCTCAGACGGCTTCAAGATGACGCAGTTGCCCGTCGTGAGTGCAATCGGCACCGTCCACATGGGCACCATGATCGGAAAGTTGAAGGGCACAATCGAGGCAATGACGCCGAGCGGCGCGCGCGTCTCCTGGCACGTGATGCCGCGGGACACCTCGAGCGTCTTGCCTTGCAGAAGCTGCGGCAGCGAACACGCATACTCGACCGTCTCGTTGCCCTAGAGAGCACGTCAGGCAGTGTCGACAAACAGCTTTTAGCGTACCTTAATGACGCTGGCGAGCGCCTCCGACTTGTTCTTGCCGTTCTCGAGCACGACCAGATCGGCGAGCTCGTCGGCGTGCTTGCGCATGAGCTCGTGGAACTTGAGCATGATGGCCGCCCGCGCCTTGACGGTGAGGCCACTCCAGCCAGGCAGCGCCTTCTTGGCGTGGTCGACGGCGACTGCAACGTCGGCGGCGGTCGACACGGCCACCTTGCCGATGATTGCGCCCGTGACCGGGCTCTCAATGTCGAGGTAAGCGCCGCTGGTGGGCGCTGCAAAGCGGCCGTGGACGTAGTTGTCGCACGTGTACGACGTCTTGAGCTTCTTGGACGGACTCTCGGGCATGCTTGTCGACCTCTGCTTTCCGACTGACGAGGGGCCTTGAAGTTGGGCAAGCTTCGATGCTTTTTGGCCAATCCCATGCGCATATCTTTTATCTGGACCAATCCGAGGACTGATGGGCACGGAATTCCATGCTTTTGACCAATCAAACGTCGTGTATCCACGGGACGATCAGATTGCGATCTTCCACCACGTGGCAAAATGGGACGTTGAAGAGAAGCTGGCAGAACGCAGGCAACCAAAGGGAGCGCGGAGGATGAGACGGTTTAAGGAGCTGGATGGCACACTGGTAGAGCACCGATAGAGGCGACGGGATGTAGGACGTGGAAACGCCGCATGAAAAGAGCCCATCGCTAATGCATTTGTACGGATGCCACGTAACTTAGTGAAGGATTCTTCGAGGCCGTCGGCGCTATGCGGATGTCTGTAATTCAAGGGTACTCGTTGATTTTGCACGGTTTTATACACGCTCGATAAGGCCGCGTTAGTACCAGGTTCGACCAGGCCGCCCATGGGTTATAGTGAAACGAGGAGACTGTGGCCTTGGGCACGGAGAGTGCTTCCTTTAGGACCGACAGCCTCGGTGTGCGATAACGACAGCGGTTGCGAAACCAATTCAACAACGAAAAGGGGAAATAGGTTGTATGTCTGGCTGTATGTGTGCGCTCCGTGCACTACGGAGCGCCATCGCAATGTATATATAGGGTGGGTAAATAAATAGAGGGCCCTCTACACAATGTAGCCGGCAAAGGCTTCGGTGCGGCACATGGGGCACGTGTGCTGCGTGTCGAACCACTCCAAGATGCACTCTTGGTGGAATTCGTGGCCACATGGCAGCTGGAACACGCTGTCCTTGACGCCATGTCCGTGGTCTTCGAGACAGATCGCGCACGGTTCGGTCGTCGCAACGGTCGTCGTTGTGGGGCGGCTGTTCATCCGCGTTGGCACGGCGAGCGCGTGTCCGAGGAGGCGGTAGATCTCGTTGAGTTGCTCCGTCTCAAAGTACGAGTCATTCGACGCATCACGGTGCTCGAGGCATGCGCTTCGAAGCTGCATGAGGTGCGCGACAAATTCCTTGAGGCCAACAAGGCGCTCCTGCACGATCGTGGTCGTGTCGAGGCCGAGGCGCTTGGGCGGAAACGGGGCGCTGACAACAGGCGCCAAGAGCGTCACGACGCGGTCGGTCTGGCGCGCGCCCTTGAGCTTGAGCGCGTGCTTGTACATGCGCTTGAGTGTCGCCCAGACGTAATAGAGGTCCGAGTACCGGCGCTTCATGGACCACCAGACGTGCGACGTCGGGCACATGACGGTGAGTGAGTAGTACGTGACGAGGTGGCCGTAGGCCTTGGAGAGCGTCTGCTTGGCGCTGGAGCGGATGCTCACGAGGGTCAATGGCTTGGTCAATGGACGCATTTTGAAAACTGCGAGTGTCTTTTGGTTTCCTCGCCGCGGTGTCGCAGCGGCCCATTGTCACATGCTGGGACCATGCGAATACATGCTTTTGTTTGTATGGCCACGCCACTCGTTCGAGATACTTGCTTTTGACGGCATGTGATTGGCTCTTGCGTTTTGATGCTGCGTCGGGATTGGCTGTATCTTTTCGAGTGTGCCAATCATATGCTGTAGACACCAGATTCGGCGGCCTGTTTGCAAGCGGCAATCGCGACAAAAATCAGGTTATCGTTGCGCCCTGGTTTTACGCACTGCTATTTTAGTACTAGAACCTGGAGGAGCTACAGTCTCTTGATCGATGCTTGGTTGGCGTCTACTGTAGCAGCGCGAGAAGTCCCGCGCGGTACGAGGTGGCGCAAGGGGGAGGCCAGTCGGGTGTAAAAACCGGCAACGTGCGACGAAACACGCATTTCGCGTCCGTTGGATTCGAAGGTCGCGGACGTTGAAGCAACCCAAGGCACGAATCTAATCCTGGATCGGCCATCTGCTTGGCGCGGGATTAGATTGCTGAGGGTGTAAGCGCGATCCTACCACGGTCGCCCACATTTTTGTGCCTTTTTTTCTTTCCAGCGATGAGCATGTCGCCACGTCATAGCGAGCCATTTCGTTGACCTGCGCTTCGCAAGAGTCATACATATTACTATGCGGCGATGGCAGCTGCGCGTCGAGCGGTTTGGCGAACGCCGTGTGTCTTATACGCCCGAATATTAATGTCGCGAACAAGGTCCTTTGCAACCACTTGAACATGAACACGCAACGGTGACAAAAACCGGGACCGTTTTTTCTCTGCACAAAGCAAACGCAAGAGTATCTATGGCCGCGTCGGCAACCGACTTCAACGTTGGCAGCTCCAAAGCACATACTTGGTGCATGGCGATCAACGAGGCTGCGACGACGAGGCTACCGTACACTGTACGACGTGGCTTCGAGTGCCCTTCGTGCCACAACTATTCGGACGCGATTGCACGACAGGACGGCGACGACCAGTCTTTGGATCATGTAATCGGCCACATCCAAGGGTGTCGTTTGCGTGTGGTTGAAGAACGACGCGGACATTGTCTATTCTTCAAGGAGCCTCCTTGAATGGTACCTGAGTCAAGGAGGCAACTCGAGCTGCAACTCGACTGAATGCGACCAAATGGTTGAGAGACGATGTAGAGGCTTTATGATTGGACGAAAATAGAGCATCCGAATCCAAACCAGGTCCAGCCCATAACAATGGATGGACCAGTGCAACGCGCGTATTGCTTTGTTTTGTCTCGTGCAGTGTGTAGGCTGCTACAACACGAGACCAGTGGGCCCTAAATCTCAAGCACATTCGACTGCGGGCATTCGAGCGCCATGTGCGTAAACAAGGCAGGAAACAACGCCATACACATTGCATATTTCACAAACGGCAATCATGGGTCAGTACGTATATTGGTGGTGGCGGCCACTTGCTTTCGAAAGATACTCTCTGAGTCATTGGCCCTCATGTCATCTGTTGGCGCGAACCTTCAGGTGTCGACCGTTTTCGCTCCTTGCCAGTTGGTCCTGGAGGCCACGAGGCGATTCGAGACGCCAAGAAGCAGAGCGTCCGTTGCATCACGTTGCCTTTAACGTGGCCCTTGGTCATCGCCACGGCTGGTCCGTGCGCACCGGGGACGTGCGGGACACCGCTAACAACCCTCTGCGTTGACGCTTGCGGCGTCATCGCGTGCTGTGAAAGATCGAAGAATTGGCACGCCCTTTCAACATCCAATCACGTGGCGCGAAATTAAGATCGTCGCCCCGCGATCTTTTCCAACGCCGTGGATCGTTCGTGTCGTCACGATGGGCGCGCCAGACAGCACCCCTAGAAGCCAGATCGTAGTTCCTTTATAGTACATACTACCAACAACACGACGGGTGGTGGCAATCAAAGACGGCCTCTGCAAGCATCCTACTCCTATTCAATGTTTGATTGGTACACACCACACACCCGTTCGTATGCATCGAGCAAGACCATCAATCTCTTCGAGCCCAAACTTTCACGGGACTTCGAGGCAAGCACGCGCCACCACCTGTGACTGGAGGCGTCCCTCAAAACGGGGGTTTTGTTTTTGAGCCAATCCCACGCGTCGCGCGGGACGAAACATTCCAAGTTCGAAGGCTTACCGACCGCTCAAAACGCCACCGCGGGAAATTTTGTCATCGCGCTTGGATGGGTAACGGAAGCGCACAAGTCGATTTGTTCCATCTCTACAAGATCCTAAAAGTCGATGAACGATCTCAAGTACACGATGCCGCCGCTGCAGTTTGCCCTCCACGGTGGTGTGCCCGCTCCGCTTCCGACGCCAAAAGCCAAGGTCAAAGCGCCGAGTCCTCGGTCGCCTATTAAGAAGCGCAACGTGGGCGTGCCCAAGTTTCTTCGGTTCCTCTACGAAATCCTCGAGAAGGAAGACCAAAGCGTCATTTGCTGGTCGCACAAAGGCACTGCGTTCCAGATCCGCAAGCCGGACGCGCTCGCCAACAGCATCCTGCCGCGTTATTTCAAGCACAACAAAGTCTCGAGCTTTCAGCGCCAGCTCAACTACTTTGGCTTCAAAAAGTGGACCAAGACGCAGACGGTTGTGTGCACGTTTAGCCACCCGAACTTTGTGCAGCATCGGCCGGATGCGATCAAGCTCATCAAGCGCAAGGACCGTGGGGTCGCCGAGACGACGACGACGGCGACTACCAACAGTACCCCCACCTCCACGAGCAACAACGCCAACAGCCACCACCACCACAGTCCGACACTTGTCGACGAGCTCACAATGCCGTTTCCAAAATCTGCACGTCGCCAATCGTGGGCCCCGCACGCTACGTACGACCTCTACATGCACGGAGACCTTCTACATGCGCAGACAAATCTGCGCAAGCACAACGTCCATCTGCCGCATACGCCCGAGGTGTCGGGTGCTACCTCGTTTAGCACCGAGTGGGGCGATGTCTTCTTGTACGGGCCGCCGACAGTCGAGCCAAGCCACGATGCTGGTGCGGGACCCCCATCGTCGTACTTTGATCTGTGGGACGACGACGGGTCCGCGGCGTCGACGACGTACATGGCCCAGAACACACCAGTTGTGCACGAGATGCCGGCGCATCTGGTCATGATCAAGCACGACGACATGCTACTCGATGCGTCGTTGGACGCGACGCGCTTCTGCCACGTGGCCGAGTTTTAGCCCCTTTTCACGACTTTTCACGACTTTTCCCCCCTTTTCGCTGCCTTTGCTTGCGCGTTCGTACCTACTTTCTCGTTCCAACGTATTTAATACTACCCTCTTTCAATCCATTGGCGTCTTTGTTGCTGTTGGTAGCGCTAAAGCACACACGTACACCGTGTCGAGTCGCAGCGGCTTTCAAGCCATTGTGACTCGATTGGGCGCCCACTTTTGAAACCGACAACATGTCTGACAAGGACGACGACGACGACGACGACGAGCTTGTGCCCAAGCCTGTCGCTGACGCGGTCTCGATCAAGTCGCACCGTATTGTGCTCGGGCAGGCATGGGAGGACGGTCCGCGGCTCGACGAAGCGCACTTGACGTTCGTGCGCTTGGACTTTGCGCGGCGAAAAGAGTACGTTCTCGAGCTGCGCGACCGCATGCGTCTCAAGGTACCACCCGGCATCATCATCATCTCTCTCTCTTCCTACTACGAGCTCTAATGTCGTGATATGTAGAGCCGGCCCGGCGTGGATTTCTTCCCCAAGCGCCCGCGCACGCTCAAGACGCTCGCGGCCAAGTACGCGCGCAGCAACTTGCACTTTTTACCATTTGTGAAAGTGTCGCTCACGGACGCGGTCTGGGACGCAGACCTCGTGAACGTGTCGCGGCTTCTCTTCCGGCGCGTGCCGCCCGACAGCCGCGACAAGGACGGTCGGCTCGCCATGTCGATTGCGATCCAGCTCAAGCAGGGCGCGATCGCCAAGTTTCTTCTCGACAAGCGCGCGAACGTCAACCTCCAGGACGAAGGCACGCTCTTTACGCCCCTCCACATGACGCTCGTGTATGCCATGCCTCTACTATGTACCAGACAGAGCTCATGTTTGCTTGTGTCTACTAGCATGGGCAACAAGAGCATCGCGTACGAGCCGACAGAGTTGGATTGTATGCGTGATGGTACATATCGTGTGATGTAGGCGGCGGTTCATCGAAGACGGCGCCCGCGTCGATGTGGCGGATGGCGATGGCATGCAGCCGCTGCATTGGGCGACGCTCCGAGGCTTCCTCGAGGTCATGGCGATGCTGCTTGAGCATGGCGCGGACGTGAACGCACAAGACAACTTGGGCATGACACCATTGCATATTGCGTGCTTTAAAGGCTACGTCGACCTGGTCGACTACCTTCTCCACACAGGTGCTGCTGCCTCCTGTTATTTTTCGTGCAAAGCGACGACACGGCATGATTAGCGCACGCCGATTTAAACATTCAAGATGCGCAAGGCTTTTCACCGGCGCTCTACGCCCGCATCGAAGACAACGGCGAAGTCCTCGACCGCATCGAAGAGTTTCACGACGAACTGCGCAAGCGCGAGGCGAAGCGCGCGCGTCGGGCGCGTCGGCGGGCCGAGCGGTTGGCATCGCGCGAGCTCGCCGAGAGCAGTCCCAATTCGCTTATTTAAGTGGCCTCCATGCATCCGAGTTGTACCTACGCACTGCGTTCGCATGGGGCACTACGATCTGAGAGGCAAGTACGTGGCAGCGTCGGGTGAAACCGAATTTCAATTAAATGCGCCTGCAATCGTACTTGTGCGGGACCTTGCACGGGATTGGCTGAAAATCGATCACTGGTGGAGATCGAAGCGTAATTTACGAGTGGTCGCATTATCACTTCAAGATCGTCGGGTTGCCGCCATGGACGCGTCGATGGACCAGACGATCCTGCGGCATGAGGTGTCGGAGATCAACTTCGGCTTCTACTCGGACGATGAGATCCGCGCGCTCTCGGTCAAGCAGATCACGTCGCGCAACTCGTTTGACGGGCTCAAGAACCCGGTCGTCGGCGGCCTGTACGACCCCGCGATGGGCCCGATCGATTTCAACATGATCTGCCCGACGTGCCACATGACGCAGAAGGAGTGCCCGGGCCACTTGGGCCACATTGAGTTGCCGGTGCCGGTCTACTCGCCCGTCCTCTTTGCGACGCTTCTCAACATCCTCAAGCGCAAGTGCATGAGCTGCCACAAGTTTCGCCGTGCGTCGTCGTCGTCGCGCATCTTCCGCGTGCGCCTCTTGCTGTTGGACAACGGCTACATTGAAGAGGCCTCGCAGATGCTCGACCTCCTGGAGCAGAAGGACGGCAACTTTGAGGAAGGCCATGCGCAGACCATCCAGCGTCAGCAGGCGATTCTCGACGAGTACGAGCGCCTCGCGCTCTCGGGCGCGGCCACGTTCTTGCCCAAGAACCCGCGCGCGGTCGAGGTCGAGCGCGATAGCATCATCAGCGCGTTCCTGAAGGGCATGACGTACAAGTGCGAAAACTGCGAAGCGCACTCGCCGGCCATTCGCCAGGACTCGGCGGCCAAGATCTTCCTCAAGCCGCTCTCGCAGCGCTCGCTGCGTCACAACAAGTCGCGCGCGATCAACCTCAACTCGGCCTTTGACATGGTGCACAAGACGACCGATAGCAAGGCGCCGACCGCTGACGACTCGGACATCGACTCGGACGAAGACGTACGACCATCGTCTCTGCAAGAATCATCGGGCGCTAAGTAACTCTCTGTGCTAGATGGACTCGGAAGAGACCTCGACTGCGGGCCACCAGTACCTTGCGCCGCTCGAGGTCATGTCGCAGCTCCAACTGCTCTGGCAAAACGAAGATGGCTTGACCGAGCTCATGTGGGGCAACCGCGTGGCGGCGAGCCGCCGCGGCGACAACCTCGCGCTCAACGGCTGGATGAAGTTCTTTCTGAACGTGATTCCCGTCGCGCCGTCGCGCTTCCGTCCACCCGTGATCATGGGCGACACGCAGTTTGAGCATGCGCAGAACAACTACCTCTCCAAGATCATCTCGCTCTCAGAGCAGATGATGCAGCTCAACAGCGCGCGCCGCGACGCGACAGTGACGCGGATGCCGCCAAGTCGGTCAACCTCTCGGACAAGATTTACCTCTGGACCGAGCTCCAGACGCAGGTCAACTGCCTCATCGACAACTCCAAGGCCAAGCGCCCGGATGACATGCCCCAAGGCATCAAGCAGCTCATCGAAAAGAAGGAGGGTCTCTTCCGCAAGCACATGATGGGCAAGCGCGTCAACTACGCCGCGCGCTCGGTCATTTCGCCGGATCCGTACATTGCCACGTCCGAGATTGGTGTCCCGCTGCGATTTGCCAAGACGTTGACGCTGCCGCAGGCCGTCACGCCTTGGAACGTGGTCGAGATGCGCCAGCTCGTCGAGAACGGCCCGCAGATCCACCCGGGCGCCAACTTTGTCGAGAACGAACGCGGCCAGCTCATCGATTTGAGCAAGCGCACGTTCGACCAGCGCCGCGCGATCGGCAAAACGCTTCTGACGCGCTCGGCGAGTGCGCAGGGCGCGCACCAGAAGCACAAGGTGAAGCGCGTGTGGCGCCACCTCAAGAGCGGCGACGTCGTGCTCATGAACCGTCAGCCGACGCTCCACAAGCCCAGTATGATGGCGCACGTGACGCGTGTGCTGACCAACCCCGCGATGCAGACCATCCGCATGCACTACGCCAACTGCAACACGTTCAACGCCGACTTTGACGGCGATGAGATGAACATGCACTTTCCGCAGAACGAGCTCGCGCGCGCGGAAGCCTACCACATTGCCAACAACGACAACCAGTACCTCGTGCCGACGGACGGGTCGCCGCTCCGCGGTCTCATCCAGGATCACGTCGACTCGGGCGTCAAGCTCACGCAGCGGGATACGTTCTTGACCAAGGACATGTACCTCCAGCTCGTCTACTCGGCGTGGACGTGCCTCGACGGCGAGAAGGGCGTCATCAAGACGCTGCCGCCGACGCTTCTCAAGCCGCAGCCCATGTGGACAGGCAAGCAGGTCATGTCGACGATCTTGCTCATGCTCACGGCCGGCAAGCCGTCGCTCAACCTCGACTCGAAGGCCAAGATCAAGGCCGACCTCTACGGCCCCAAGAACGCCGAGCACATCATCGTCTTCCGTGACGGCGAGCTGCTCCAGGGTGTGCTCGATAAGGCCCAGTTTGGTGCCTCCGAGTACGGTTGGGTCCACGCTGTCTATGAGCTCTACGGCGCGGGCACGGCTGCGAAGCTCCTCACGGCGCTCGGCCGCGTGCTCACGTGCTACCTCCAGTATGCCGGCCACACGTGTGCGCTCGAAGATTTGACGCTGACGGGCCCTGCGGAAGAGGAGCGTCGCCGCCTCGTCGAGCAGAGTGTCTTGCACGGTGAGGTCGCGTACTCGGAGTTTGCGGGCCTCCCGGGCCTCAAGGACGACGAGACGCGCCGCATGAACGACGACGAGCGCGCCAAGCTGCGCGAGACCATGCGCCGCAAGATGGCCGAGGACCTCGAAAACACGTCGGCGGCCCTCGACTCGCACATGATGGGCTTTGTGCACGGCTCCAACTCGGAGATCATCAAGTCGTGTCTGCCGCACGGCCAGAACAAGAGCTTCCCGGCCAACTGTTTCTCGCTCATGGTGCTCACGGGTGCGAAGGGCTCGATGGTCAACCACTCGCAGATCTCGTGCGGCCTCGGCCAGCAGGCGCTGGAAGGTCGCCGTGTGCCTGTGCTTGTGAGCGGCAAGTCGCTGCCGTCGTTCGAGCCGTTCGACCCGAGCCCGCGCGCCGGTGGCTACATTACCGATCGTTTCTTGACGGGTCTCCGTCCCCAAGAGTACTACCACCATTGCATGGCGGGTCGCGAAGGTCTCGTCGATACGGCTGTCAAGACGTCCCGGTCCGGCTACCTCCAGCGTTGCTTGGTCAAGCACCTCGAGGACCTCCATGTGGGCTACGACCATACGGTGCGCAACTGCGACGGCAACGTCGTGCAGTTCCTCTACGGCGAAGACGGCGTCGATACGCTCAACTCGGCGTTCCTCTCGGGCAAGGCCGACCAGATGAGCTTCCTCGCGATGAACCACGCGTCGCTCTCGCACAAGTTTGGCATCACGGCCGACTTTTTGGAGACGTCGGGCCTCGACGTTGTCGCGCCGGCGCAGCTCCACCACGAGATCAAGTCGGCCAAGCGCCACGGCTACGAGGGCGGCCTCTTTGAGATGCACGCGATGAAGGAAGGCCTTAGCGTCCTCGCGCGCCGGCTCCAGCCCGGCCACCACAAGTGGAAGAAGGGCCACTTTGCCCTTGGATGGCATGCGGCGACGATCGCCAAGGTCGACGCCAGCGGCGAGTACCCCGTGTACGACCTCACGTACGAAGATGGCGAGACGGTGGTCGGCGTGCCGCAGTTCAAGCAATTCAAGGCGAGCACGGCGACGATGCCTGAGAACGAGTACATGTGCGGCTCGGTCGAGCTCATTCGGCCGCAGCTGCCCGACCCGGTCATGCACGCACTGCCGCTCAACCACCACATTGGCACGGTCTCGGAGAAGACGCAGAACCACATTGAAGCGTACTCGAAGGCCAACCCGAGCAATCTCCTCGAGTCCAAGAAGAACAAGCTCGGCGGCGTCGTCTCGGCGTCCGGCTTCCGCCTCATGGTGTGGGTCAAGTACATGCGCAGCTTGTGCCAGCCCGGTGAGAACGTCGGTACGATCTGCGCGCAGTCGATTGGTGAGCCCTCGACGCAGATGACGCTCAACACGTTCCACTTGGCGGGCCACGGTGCCGCCAACGTCACGCTCGGTATCCCGCGCCTGCGTGAAATCATCATGACGGCGAGTAAGAAGATGTCGACGCCGATGATGACGATCCCGTTGCTCCCGACCGCGTCGCCGGCCGACGGCATGGCGGTCGAGCAGCAGCTCAACCAAGTGCCGCTCGCCGAGCTCATTCGCAACACCAAGGGCATCCGGGTCCAGGATCAGTTTCTCGAGGCCGAGAACCGCGTCCTCTGGTGCCGCGAGTACACGATCCGTCTCTACTTTTTCAAGCCCAAGCTCATCCGCGACGCATTTGGCATTACGACCAAGGAGATCCAGCGCGCGTTCGGCCGCCACTTTGTCTCGAAGCTTCTTACGCTGCTCAAGCACGAAATGCGCAAGAGCGGCGTGACCGTCTCGGTCGAGTCGGGCAACTCGATGAGCGCCCGGTCCTCCGACAACCTCGACGACGACGACGAGACGCCGCGTGGCCGTGCCAAGAAGACCAAGGACGACGACGACGACGACGATGACGAAGATCAAGGCACGCTCAAGTTTGGCGCCAAGAAGGAAGCTGCGGGCTACGGCGACATGGACGACGAAGACATTGCCGTCCAGCGCGCGGCCGACTCGGACGATGACGACGACGACGAGGCGCCCAAGAAGAAGTCGGCGGCGGCGTCGTCCGACACGGAAAACAGCTCGGACGACGAGGACGCGGCGCCTATCAAGGTGCTCAAGGGCGAGCTCAAGGCGGTCCAGGTGTCGACGACGGTGTCGAAGAACCCGTACTTTGCGGGCGCGGGCGTCAACACGACCGAGCACTATGGCGAACTCAAGCTGCGGTTCCCGGCCAACTTCAAGACGCTCCTCTTGGTGCCGCTCATCGAGAAGATCACGGCGCAGGTGCTCGTGCGGTCGTGCCCTGGCATCTCGCGTTGCTACACGGTCAAGCAGCGCCTCGACAAGTCGGGCGACGAGGAGCAGTGCATCCAGACGGCGGGCCTCAACTTCCAGGCCATCTGGGAGCTCAACGACAAGCTCGACGTGAACCGGCTCGTGACCAACGATATTTACCAAGTGCTGCTCAACTACGGTGTCGAGGCCGCGCGCGCGTCGATCTCCAAGCAGATCCAGGATGTGTTTGGTGTCTACGGTATCTCGGTGGACCCGCGCCACTTGAGCTTGCTGGCCGACTACATGACGCACTACGGCGACTACATGCCGCTCAACCGATCGGGCATGGCGCGCAAGGGCTCGTCCTTCCAGCAGATTACGTTCGAGACGTCGATGAAGTTTTTGACGGAAGCCGCGACCGGCAACTTTGGCGACGACATGGCGGGTCCCTCGGCGCGCATCGTGCTGGGCCAGCCCGTCAAGCTCGGCACGGGCTCCTTCTCACTCATGGCGCCCATCGCGTTGTAGACAAGCAGTCGAGGAATGCGCTCGTAATTATATTTTGCATATTCGACTGTCCCTTGTTGGCTGCATGGAAGTATCAACGTATCAAGTCGTGTTGCAAATGCAGTTTTACGTCAAAGTGCACGAAAAGCGCGTTTTTCTAGGAAAAACGGGTCGAACCTACGGCAGAGAACGAGTTTAACGTATCATGGGTGGAACGGTCGGGTGGCCAAGAAGCGCCAGCGCGCCTCGCCTGTTATCTTTGTCCAACTAGATGCTGCAGAGCATGGCTGAGTACTTGGATGATGCCAAAGCGATGCAGACCTTCCTTGCGACCCTGCCTTCAGTGCTTGCAGCCCTCTTCCGTTCGCAGCCACCGGTACGTCGATACGCCAAGCTGCTGCAGTTCTCGTGGTGCAACCGACCCGCAGCTTGTCGAGGCCTTCTTGCCATCTATGCTCGCGTCAGGCTACACTGCTGTCAGGCTCGGTGCGTCCTGGTATCGCATTCCACGCAAGGCTGGTCAATGTGGTCGCGTAGCCGAGTTGGCTCGCTGCTTGCACGAGACGAACCACCTTAAAGAGCTGGACCTGAATCGGAACCCGATCCAAAATGACTATGTTCTCGACTGATCTGCGGCCTCTTCAACTCGACCTCTTGAAGCGGCGCGCTCGATGTCCGCGGCATGCTTGTAAGCGAGTATGGTAGCGACACCTCCCGCGCGGTCACGCACCAATTGCTGCCCAACACCGCTTGTGTGCAGCTAGACATGGACGACGAGTAGGTTGTTTAAAGGTACTGGTACGAGCCATCAATCAACTTATCTCAGCAATGAAACGTCATGATGATGGCCATTGTCAACCGGTTGCTGTAGGACGATGTTTCCATCCATAGCCGTCAAATGTGCTGATTCGGCGGCGAAGACACATTGTCGAGCATTCAACAGCCGAGTAACTTTCGTCGACCCCTGCCATCGCAACGCTCGCACGGCTTGTTCTTCTTGCTACAATTGTACTGTACTCCAATTATCCGGGTAAACCGCATCGAAAAAATATAACCGGATGGGCCGGGGCCCAAATTGCCTTTTTCGACGAGCATCAAAGAGCAAAGTGATGGCACCGAGTCGCGAGCTACGGATCGTGTGCATCTCGGACACGCATAGCAGGCACGGCGACTTGGTCGTGCCGGACGGCGACATCTTGATCCACGCCGGCGACTTTACGAAGCGCGGCCTTCACACGGAGATCAAGGCCTTTGACGAGTGGCTGGGCACGCTACCGCACCGCCACAAGATCGTGATTGCGGGTAACCACGAGCTGTCGCTCGATGCGGCATGGTACCGAAGGACTGGAAACGGTGGCACCGAACCTTCCAGGACCCGAGTGTCTCGAAGCAGCTTTTGCGCCACTGCACATACTTGGAAAACCAAGTCGTGGAAGTGGAAGGCATCCGCATCTTTGGGTCGCCGTACAGCACGCTCAACCCCGGCTGCATCATGTCGCTTTATATTCATGGAACGCGCCACGGCTCATGCGTCGCGTGCGTAGGGCCTTCCAGGCGTTTCCCGGCTCGCACGCTCAGAGCATTTGGGGCCAAGCACCTGCGCACGTTGACATTCTTGTGACGCACGGACCGCCGCTCGGTATCCGCGACTTGAGCGTACGCGGCCAGCTCTGCGGCGACGAAGACCTTTTGCACGACGTTCAAACACGCATTCAGCCCAAGTACCACGTCTTCGGCCACATCCACGAGTGCTACGGCTCCGAGATTCTTGGTCCCACGACCTTTATCAACGCAGCGTCGTCGACGATGCTTCGGCAGTGCACGAACGCGCCAATCGTCTTTGATATTTCCGTCGCTTCGAAAGACAACTAACAATGACAACGCTCCCAGCGGCACCATTGGTACCGGTATGACACCCCTGCATGGACCTGCACTAGAAGTGCCGTAGTAGTTTGGTTGTATACTTGTAGTTGGACTTCAAGAATTGTCCATCGGTGTGTAGACAGTAATACATGAAAAAAAGCACACAGCTCTCGTTCTTATCGTTGCCTTATTGAAACGAGGCCGCGTCTGCCGTGAACTTTTTCCGGAGGTCGGCCCGAACCGTTGAGATGGCCCCGATCGCAATGACCTGGCGCTTCGATGCTGTGCTGAGCGGCAAGCGCTTCCATGACGTCGTTGGTAGCGTTGGCACTGGCGTCGCTGGAACGAGGGGCGTCGGCGGTGGTGGTGCTCGGACGATTGGCGACGGGGTTGCGACCGCTGTCGTTGCTTTTGCGGAACGCTTCTTGGGGGCAGCAGCCCGGGCGTACGGCGCGGGGCGCTTCCCGAGCTTTGTCTTGCGAAAAGGCGACGGCGAGATTGCAGTGTACATTGTACGAATCGGAAATGACCTCGTGCTTGGATCGATTGCGCGCTTTTGCGCGATGGCTTTTGTATCCGGATACGGCGGAAGCGGAATGATGGTCTTTGTGATGGTGATGACACATGGCGTGCTACGGTCCACAAGTGGTCGTGCCATCATGCCAACTGTTCGGTGATTGAGGCACTGCCAAGATGCAGTTGTGGTCAAGTGGTACGAATACCAGATTCTGCTCCACGCCGCCCGCTGCATACAGATAGCACCTCGCTCTCCACCGCCGTTGACGCTCCATGAGCCTAAGCTTTGGAAGCGTCGACGTCTTCATTGACCTACCTCTATGAGCCAAAGCTTTGGTAGCGTCGACGTCTTCGTGTGAGGATGAGAGAACCAACGCTGTGTTTAGTTTACATGGTGGTCACACTACGGTGGGCGGCGTGATAAATCGAGTGCCCTGGCGCCGCGCCCAAGACCTATCCGAACGTGTGAGAAGGATTCTGGCACGTCGACCGGACCTGGGTCATCGCGAGCTTCGTCGTCGCCATCGGCGGTGGCGGCGCCGGGGTTACGAGGGTCATGTAGTCCCTACTCATGGACATGGCACCATGTACAACAACTAGATACGTACATGAAGCGGTCCTTGCGCCACATTTTGAGATACGTCGCCGCAAATACCTGCGACTCCTAGGACACAGCAGAGGGGTGCGTGATAGAAAAAGAAAGAGTCGCCGGCGAACCGCGTTCTTGACGAGCGATTGGCCCGTGCCAACGTGGTCGCGGGCGCCACAGATTTGAGCGCCCGCTGGGTCCCCCGACTTGGCCGACGCGCAGTGCATCCACATGAGCTGGAAGAGCGCTCTAGGCACGCCACGTCAGCATCTTCTGCGCCTGCGACAGGACGCACTTGAGCCGGAGGACGGCGTCCGTGTCCGGATGCGCCGACAGCTGCAGCGCGACGCGCATCAAAAGGTCGCGAAACCCGTCGTACGTGAGTCGGCGCGAGACGTCGTCGATCTTGACGAGGCTGTCAACGTACGCAAAGGCAAAGCTGGTCACGGAGATGTATGCGCTGAGGCCATACTTGCGCGCGAACGTGAGCGCATGGTTGTAGCTCCAGTAAAAGCCACGTCGTCGGTCCCCCAAGTGGGGCTTCTTGTCCATCGGGTTTCTCGAATCGGGCGGGATTGCATAGTAGCTGAAAATCTAGACGCAGGTGGTGATATAGGTGCGTGGACATCCGTGACGCACCTCGACGAGACTGGCCTCAAACGCACCCAAGAGCTTCTGGGCAACTGCGAGTGGACGCGCCGTGCTGATCCGAGGCCTATCACATTGCGTGGTCCTTACTGTTTGCTCGCAAAAGCTACTCCGTACGGTCGCATTTTGGCGCCTCGGGGCGTCTGGACACACTGGTCCACAATGTACTTGAAAGCCATGGGCGGCGGCACACCTGGATGCGCCTACGCCATCGACCACTCAATGCTCATGTGGACAAGTTGTCAGCACCGACTTGCTGGCCGAGCGCCCACATAAAGTGGAGAAACTTGTCGTAGCTGAGCTTGACGCTGGTCGTGCGCGTGTGCATGAGCTTGCTCGCAAGCATCTCGACATCGCGGATCGTAAGCGTGGCGAGCGGCTACTCGGCCCGTTGTTTTCACTTGGATGATTTGACCCACGGCTGTACCTTGGTGTCCTTGAGCAGCGGTGGCGACGACGACGACGTAGCGACCGTGTCTCGCACGAGACGGCACTCTTGGAGGAGCTTGATGACGTTGCCAAGGCGAATGCACGTCGGGTCGTCCGACGACGTCTGGAGCGCAAAAGACGTGAACAGCAGAAAGAGCTTGTCTTCTCGACTTGCTTGCTGGTCGTCCGCGTCGATCGTAAAGGGTGGCGGGCCCGCGTGCGTCTCGGTCGGGTAGTCTTCGGCCCGCTCCAAATCTTCGAACGCATGGTCCTGGAGCAGCGCGTCGGGCGCGAGCGACAAGGAAATCATCGAGTGCAGCAAGGAATGCACCGCCATTCATCTTCCCGCAATTGTACTCGTACTGGTAGGACCACGATGATGGCGCCTGTCTAAATATACGCCAACGCATGCCTCGTAGCGGGTGTAGTAGATAAATAGGACGTGCGTGTTAAAATAATCAAGGACGCTGGAAACATTAAGGTCGTTGCTCATGCGCGGCGGCGGCGCGACACTTTGGTGAGCGCAATGCACACGTTGCGCGCGTTGGACGAGAAGGCGACCGCCATGCAGCACTCGCACGTCGCCTTGTCCTCTTCGGCAATCGCAGTCAGCGTGTTCTTGTGCTCAAAGTCGGCCTTCCAGTAGTCGAGCTCGACCTCCGAGAACGGCACCTTGTGGCCGCCGACGATCGTCGCGAGCTTGTGCATGCGGACGCGCGGCCGGTCGATGAAGCGGTGCGAAATCGTCACGTCCGGCGCGCCAAGCTCGTACTGCGGCAACGCCTTCTCCGACTCGAGGCGCGCCTTGCAGCAGCTCGGCGTGTCGTCGACCGTCTTGTATGGGTGGCACTTTTTGGTGGCCCAGCGAAGGCTGCCGCGGGGCTTGGCCTCGACGTCTTTGGCGGCCGTCTTGGGCTTCTTCTGAAACATTGTGGCGAGGACGATGGCCATGTTGGTCGTACTGATGTGGTTGGAAGAGGTCCAAAGGCGAAGTGATGAGCCATGACCAGCAGCAGCACCACCACGTCGCAGTCGAATTTCAGCGTCATCGGGTGAGCAATCTCCAGCCGCGATATTTAATTGTCGTCGCCGCTGCCTTTTCGCGTGCGGTATACAAATACCTATATGTTTGGACCTGGATTGCTTGCTGGATCCCACGCTTTCGGATTGCCACACGGATTTTTACTCGCGCGCCAAACAAACAAACGGTTCAGCTCTGATAGCCGGTCGCCGATCACTTTGGTATTTAAATGCTTTAAAGTTGACCATTTTATGCTTGCTGTTGACCAAATGGCGCGCTGTATTTTTATAGTAATACATTCTTCGACACTCGGCTGGTACATGTCCCATGCCTGGTTATTAATCGAAATACAAGTCGTGGACCCAAGTCGTCGCGATTGGTAGAGCTTTCCTGCTCGACGTGAGCATCAGAAGCAGGATCATGACGAGAGCTATCAGCGTTCGCTCCTTGAAGTGATTGGGTTGAAGACGACGTGCTGGGATGCTGAATACACTCACTGCCTTGTGATCGCTTCCATGAGAGGTCGGGCGGTTGCACGGTTCCTCTCACATGTGGACAAGTAAAACGAAGAAGGGTGTCTTCTATCTTTTGTCGTGCAGGATACCAAGTCCGATTGTATGGGGTTGCGATCACATTGCAGTGTTGTATGATTAATTATTGTTGTGCTCGAAGGTTGCCGATCCACGAGGAGGCAGCCACACGCTTCAGTCAAGAGGCATGAAGTCGTTATGTGCTTGCCCTTTACCTTGCACGACGGTTTATAGGTCGCGCGTCGTCGGGCAGGTGCGTCGTGGAAGCCGCCGCGGCTTCTCGACACAGTCGTCAGCCTCGTCCAAAATTTACTACCTCGCATCCACGAATCTCGCCCTAACGACCAGAATGATTCGTTCGATGACGTCGGACAAAGATACCCTTACGCAGACAGGTTTACATAATTTTCCATGTTTTCCAAGTGATCTACTGGTTTTATCATAATTGCATATTTAAATTAGTGGCGACGTGCGTTTACGGGCGCTCGTCGCACCGACGGCAACGTCTTGGAGATCCATATTTTGTTTGTCGAGAGCTCAAAGGCACGGGATTGGCACGCGTCACACACGGCCGGACTCTCTTCTTCGATCGGTGAGCAGGCCATGAACCATTGCCGTTCAAACTTCCAGTAGGCGCGCTCGGCTGGTGTCCATGGCACGTAGTGGCCGCCAATGAGGCTCGAGCGCTCTCGTCGCTTGGACAGATCGTGCTTCTTGTAGGCGATCGTAATGTGTCGGGAGGCTGTGGGCGGAGCTGGCTTGTGCCCGGCCGCGCATGGCACCTGTGACGCCTCGCCGACGTTCGAGACGCGGCGGTGGAGTCGGCGCCACGGCCAGCCCTTTGTCTTGGTCGGCTTTGCCGTCGATGTCGCTGGTGTTGGCGGCTGGGGCATGAGGAGGAAAGCGAGTACGCTCATGGTATCAAATTGCACTTTGAGCTGCCAGCGCATCTGGGTTGGTGCGGCGTTGGAATGGCATCAGGATATCCACGTCGCGTGCGTCCATGGATTGGTCCAATGCAATGCGAGGGATTTCATTTCCGTCGTTTTTATTGGTCGACGACCAGCGCAGGGATAGATTTACAGCAGTCAGGTGCTTCATGGTCGAAATTTCGAGTCTACGCCTGGTCCGGCGGCCGTCCGCGGGCCCGAGCCTTGCCATGGCGTGCTACATTTGTACGTGGGAATTGGTGCGCGTGGAATGGCTCGTTAACACTATCGCGCGCTTGGTACAAGGCATCTTCCCGCGAGGCCCTTGCCAGAGATACGCGGCATGGCAGGTGCCGTGGGGTGGACACGGGCTTCACGACTCGGTCGTTGTTCATTGTTGACGTTGGCACAATCGTTGGACATGTTATAAAGAGTGTGCGCTTCAGAAATCGATCCCAGCATGCGACAGAGGCTGCTTCGATGCTTGGGGATTGCCTGCGCATGACACCGATCTCATCCGTCTTGAGTTTTTCCATGGACGGAGATATCGCCGTGCAAGACCTCGTCAGTCAATCGCGGTCCGCGATTCCAGAGCCTTGATGACCTCACGCAAGCAAGAGGTGAAGCGTACAACTCGTCTGTCGAGTGGCTCTGAAACCTGGCGACGTTGTTGCCACCGACGCTGGCCTTGGAGCATGGACAAGAAAAATCCGGTCAAATTTTGCGCCCGCGCTTTTTATGGATGCGGTGCAACGTAGTTGGACGATCCAAGTGCTACTACGTACTCGTGCGTGCATGCATATCCTACGGCTATTCCACCATCGCATTGATGTCGTTGGACTTGGCAATCAAGTGAAGAATACTGCATTCTGGAATGGTACGTACCTTTAAAGATTCCCGCAGCGGCAGCTGCATGGAAGAAAGAAATCCATCGCGCGCTACACGTCGTTGCTACCACGGTCCGCTAGGGAATCGAAGCACGGGATGCCTTGCGTCGTCCGTTCATAGGATTCCATGGTTTCCTGGACAGACGACTTCTTCTCAAGCATCCACGCTGTGTGCTAATAGTACCGGTGAGGAATCCTCGGCCGCGAGTAAAGATTCATGTCTGGCAACCATATATCGCTGGCGAAGCGACGCCTCGCCATGGGCTACATTCTGCTGTCGTGGGCAGTCGATGTGAACAGTAGTGGTGGCAATGTCAACATCGCAGGTCCTCCGCCGGGCGAGAGGCAAGCCCTTCCGGTCCTTTGCTCGCGACACTTGCATCCGGCGATAACTACGAGAAGTTTGCTAGACAAAGACTTCTCACTTGTCTTCTTTACGTCCTGAGACCACACTGTATGCCATGAGTCCATCAGACAGGCTTCGGCCGGACGAGGAAGAAGACGGAGAAGCAGCCAAGACGAGGTGTCTGCAGTCTCTGCGTGGTCTCCGCCAACCTCGTCCGCGACCGTTCCGTGCTATCGATCGCTGTATCTGAACGTGGAGATAGGCGTTGCCACATCGCACTCACTTATAGCTACAATGTCCATTCGACGCGGGGCTCGCTGCTTGTTTCGAGGTCCTTTGAGGATGACTAGCTCAAAGCAGCGAGATCCCGTACCTGTCATCTGCATGACCATGCTCTATCGCGCGCGGCCTGTCGCCTACATGTGCAAGCATCGCGTGGAAGATGTTGCCCGCCATCCGCGTCCTGCCCCGCGCGGTGGTCATTGCGGGCTGCCTGCAAAATGGCGCTTGCGTATAAGATTCCAAAGGTGCATCGTGGTATCCGGATACGTCGGTGCGAAAAATGCGTTCTGAGAGGATTACAGCGCAAGGTGATTGGCCGATGGATTTTACTGGCCGCGAGGGATGACTGGTCCTTGGTGTGGTTGGCTGCGGCTCTCTTTTGGGCGCCGACTTGTATCAAAGTATACGACCGGGTTTTAAGTTCCAATTTAACTTGTAATAAGGTAAGAAACGCAAGTTGCGAGGCGAGCGATGATGGCCGCCTCGACGATCGACGCCTGAGGCTCATGTAGCGCCGCTCTGTGTAGTCAACCATGGTCAAGCACAACAACGTGATCCCGAATGGCCACTTCCACAAGGACTGGCAGAACCGCATCAAGACGTGGTTCGACCAGGCCGCGAAGAAGAAGTCGCGCCGCTTGACTCGTAAGGCCAAGGCCGCGGCCATTGCCCCGCGCCCGGCTGCCGGTCTTCTCCGCCCGGCTGTCCACTGCCCCACGGTCAAGTACGGCTCGAAGGTCCGTGCCGGCCGTGGCTTCACCTTGGATGAGCTGAAGGAAGCTGGCATCTCGCGCAAGCAGGCCCTCTCGATCGGCATTGCCGTCGACTACCGCCGCACCAACAAGTCGGTCGAGTCGCTCCAGGCCAACGTCCAGCGCCTTAAGGCCTACAAGTCGAAGCTTGTTGTCTTCCCGCGCAAGCGCGCCTCGAAGCCCAAGCAGGGCGACGCCTCGGTCGAGGACATCAAGGCTGCTGTCCAGCACACGGGTGTCCTCTTCCCGATTGCCCGTGCCTCGACGGAAGTCGCCACGGCCAAGATCACCGACGCCATGAAGAACGAGTCGGTCGTCAAGACCCTTCGCCTTGCCAAGGCCGACGCTCGCCTCGTTGGTCTCCGCAAGAAGATGGCCGCCGACAAGGCCAACGCCGACAAGTAAACGTGCCCGTCGGAACTTGTCTTGATCAATTGGAACACATAATTGAGAGCAAAGCCAACCCTTTGTTCGACGTCGTACTCTACATCCGGTCCTCTTCGTTGTTGCTCGACCTTTGCCACGCGTAGCGCCGATAGCAAACACAGCTTATCGATTCTTCACGTCCGCCAACGCGAACTCGTGGTTCTAGAGGCGAGACAGATGGAGCGCATCGCTTGAAGAATGCCCGACTAGATAGAAAACGATTGCGCATCGTCGTGGCCCGCTTGGCGCTTGACCCTGGAGCCGGGGCTTCCACGGATGTCTCCGTGGGCTCCATGTGCAGCGTAAGACCCATGCGGTGCTTGAGCAATCAGCCACCACCGCTGCCGCTGCCGTGACGGCTGCTGCCCAGCTCGTGCCCGAGGTCGACTCTGAAATCGCTTTAAATGCCATGGATCTTATTGGAGGTAAAATAAAATAGAACTACACGCATGAAGTTTAAAATGTGTATGGTGGATTGAAATTCGTGAAAAAAAGAATGTAAAAAAGCACTGGCGCCGCTTCCGACCAATGAATTGGCGCCGACGGGTTTCCAGTCGTCTTGGAGGTTGAAGCAACAGCATTTCTATCCGATGGTCGGGCGCATGAAGGGGCTCGCGAAGAGCAAGCGCGTCTTCACGGTCGACGACGACGAGTACGACGACGGTACCGCGGCCGCGACCTACTCGGGCTCGGAGAGCGAGGCCGATGGCCATGACGACGGCGACGACGACGAGATCGCCATGCGCCCGGCGTCGTCGCTCCGTGTGCGCAACTCCAACTTTGACGACGCCGACCCGGCGTACGAAGGCAAGGTCGTTCGCCGCACCGAGCTCAAGAGCGACGACGATGATGATGAGGAGGACCTCGAGCGCGAAATGCAGGACGAGTGGTCCGAGGGCGAGCCGTTCGCGGGTTCGGACGGCGACGACCAGAGCGGCAGCGACCTCGACGAAGAGGAAGAGGAAGACGAAAGCGAAGAGGAGAACGAAGATACCTCGGCCGTTGGCGGCGACGTCGACGATGTCATCCGCGCCCTCGAAGAAGAAGACGCGGCTGTGCTCATGCGCTCCAAGGACATTGAGACGCAGCAGCACAAGGCCAAGCACGTGCACCACCAGAAGATGATCTGGGAGCGCTGCTTGGAGCTTCAGATTGCGATCAAGCAGCTCATTGCGACGATCAATGGCGTCGGCACGTCGGGCTCGGACGAGGAGTCGGCGAAGCGGTCGGCGCTCGCGGCGCAGCTCCGAAGCTGCATGGCCACGATGCATGCGATGCAGCAGGAGATGTACACGCTGCCCGAATTCTCGACCAGCAGCAAGCGCTCGATGGACGAGGCTGGTGACATGTGGCAAGGCTGCGTCGACGAGTCGGCGGCCGCGCTGCCGCAGTACCAGTCGATTCTCAACAAGTACGCGCGGCAGGCGGACGGTGTCGCGGCAAAAAAGTTCAAGGCGGTCAACCAGGACGTGCTTGTGCAGGTCGACGCAGTCCTCGCGGACCCGCAGCGCATTCGGCGCAAGGCGCACCCGGCGGCGATTGCTGACGACACGACCGACTCGGAGGCCGTCGACGACCTCCAGTACGACGACCGCGAGTTTTACCAGCAGCTCCTTAAAGAGTACATTGAGAACGGTGCGAACGGCCTCGACGCCAGCCTCGGCGCGAGCTTGAAGCTCAAGCGCAAGAAGAAGAACGTGAACCGCAAGGCGAGCAAGGGCCGTGTCGTCAAGTACACGGTGATGCCCAAGCTCCAGCACTTTATGTTCCCGGACCCGACGCTCCGATACAAGACCAACATGGACATTGACGAGCTCTTCCGATCGTTATTTAGCTCGACGGCAAAGGCCTAAAGAAAGGGTCCTACTACACTACAACACGTCGTCTTCCTCCTCTTCTTCCTTCTCGGCAAAGTACTCGGTCTTGATGGCCGCGACCGCTGCCTCGAGGCCCGCGACGCGGTCAGCGGCTGGCGCCAGCAAGTTTGGCGAGACACCGAGCTTCTTGACAATGCCCACAAACTGCACCGTTTTTTCACCGACGTGGACGGCCGTGGACGCGCGGATCTTCTTGGCGCGCTGGGTCCGTTCGAGGACGCGGAGCTCGTCGTCGGCCATATCGAGGGCCGCGTTGGCCAGCATCGCCGCGGCGTCCGTGAGCGCCTGGCCGTGGGCGTCGTACGCTTGCGGGATCTTTAGCGTCGCCATTTGCGCCACTTGGTCGTTGAACGCGCTGTTTTTGAAGATTTTGTGTTTGAGTTTCACCTATTTGACAAGATCGATCGTACACACACGAGGTAGTAGCATCGTACCGCTTCTTTGAGGAGCGTCGTAAACTTGTCGATGACATCAACCTTGTTTTTGGACTGGATGACGCCCGGCGCGTTCGTGATCTGGTCCGTCTTGGAGCGCAGCTGCACAATGTCGGTCGAGAGCGCTTGGAGATACCAGAGCCGGAGGTACGCGTGGCCGGCCGCGAGCCGCTCGGCCTCCGAGTAGTACCAGTCGCGCGTGTCCTTATTCTTGATGAGCAGCCTAAAGACACCAGCATATTCCGACGCGATCGTTTAAATGAGAGGGTTCGCACCGTGCCGACCACGTTTGGTTGGCGTCGGCGCCCAACGCGAGCCCATAGCCTTCGAGCTAGCCAGATGAACCGTATTGAGAGACGATCGACTCGGGTATATGGACCTTGTTGGAGACGTCGGTCGAGTAGGCGATCGCGTGCTAGACGAGCCAGCGAGAGAGATACGGTGGTGCTCCGAAAAGAAGAAGAGACGTACGGCTTCGTCCTTGAACTTGATGGTCACGAGCTCGTGGATGGTCGCGTTGATCGCTGCAATGTTGTCGACAAGCTTCTTATTCGACTCCTTCCGAGCCTTCTTCTCCAGCTACACACATCCTCTCGTTGACCGATCGAGGCAAAACCGATGTATGATCGCACCTGCTCGACCATGGACATGCCGCCGCCCGTCGCCTTGACCGTGTCTTCGCCGAAAATATCATCGACTGCACTCGATGCGGCCGCGAGCTCGGCTGCCATTTGGTCCTTGACGGACCGCACGGGCGCGCCTCCGCCACCGCCTTCGTGCGCTGGTGTCCGTGAACCCGATGCTGCAAAATTGCCTTGCTGGATCATCTGCTGGTGCTGCATGACCATCGCGAAGAGCTGGTCCATCGAGATGCCTCCGGCAGACGCGGGCATGCTAAAGCTGCCACGGCTCGGTGCGGGCGGCGGCTACGCAAATGGTTCGCGTCGATTGACAGAGACGATTGAGATGTACCCCTGGATCGTTGGGCGAGATTGCGTCTGGTGTCTCGAGGAGCGCGCCGTCCAAGCCCTCGGCCTTCATCTTGAGCTGGGCTTGCTCTTTGGGCATGCCCATGGTCAGAAGTTTGAAAAACTTCTTGAACGCAGGGTCGTCCTTGACGAGCAGCGGGACGTACGGCGGTGCAGCCGGCTGCATCGGCGGCGTCATGGGTGGCGACGGCGCCATCATCGTCGGCGGCTACAGATAACAAGTGAGATGCATACAACGATATGTCGACGAACGCCAGGATCGTTGGGCGAGACGGCTTCTGGGTGGTCGAGCAACGACGGGTCGAGCTGCTCGGCCTCCATCTTCATCTTGATCTGGTCCACAGGCATGTGCATCGCAAGCAGCTTGAAAAACTTTTTAAACTTGGGGTCGTTTCCGACCGTCAATGGCACATAGGCCCCAGGCGGTGCCTATGATTTCACTGCAGCCACACAGAGAGGCGAGGATGGGTCGTACGCCGGGGTCGTTCGGGGAGACCGCGTGGGGTGTGTCGAGGAGCCCTGGGTCGACGCCGTCAACTTCCATCTTGGCCTTGATCTGGTCCGATGGCATCGACATGGCTTGGAGCTTAAAGTACTTTTAAACTTGTCGTCGTCCTTGACCAAGAGAGGGTGGTAGATCACCGGCGCGATGGCCAAGGGCATCGGCGCGCCTAGCATCGCTGGCGCAAAGCTCGCACGCTGCTCGAGCGCCTCGAGCTTGTGCATGAGCAAGTCGAGCTCCTTTTGCTTGATCGACGACGATTTTGAGAGCACGTGCTCGGGTTTGATCTGGTTGGCCTTGGCGATTTGCGCAATCGACTCTTGCGACTTGAGCATTTCTTCGATCTGCGTCTTTAGATGCGAGATCTCCTTTTGCTGCTTCCCGACGTCCGTGGACTTGGTCGAGAGCTTGATGAGCGTCGCCACTTGCTCCTCGGTCAAGCCCGGGATGCCCATCACGGCGGGCCCACCTGCGCCAACACGACGTCACGCAAGCCATCGAAGATAACATCTCGTACTGAAGGAGCGCGAGCTCTGCCGCTTGACAAACGACGCTGCGTTGGCCTTTTCTTCTTCGTCGTCGTTGTCTTCCTCCTCTTCGCTTTCTTCCTCGTCCTCGCTCTCTTCCTTGAGGTAGACTACGTCGTGCTCGCCATGCGCTCGACGTCGCCGCCGTGAGATGTACCTTGGATGCAGTGGTCGCGGTGCGCCTTAAAGTGGCGGCGCAAGCAGGCCTAGACGCCACATGCGGGTGTCGTCGTGCGGCAATGGCGTGAGCTAGTAGTACGTACGTCGTCGCAGTACATGGCCTGGTGGCACTTGGAGCAAGGTAGCGTGGCCCCATCGGCCTGGCAGTACGAGCAGTCGGCGGTCTTCATACCGCCTCCGCGGAGCGCGCGCATGAGCTCGTCGTCGCTGTCGCTGTCGGCCATCGCTGACTTTGCCCTATTGGTTCAGTTGTGTCATCGCCCTCTATACGGTATCTTCTTCTGGATATAAAAATAGCTTGCGATTTGTAAGCTTAGGGGCGTATATTTTAATGCATGGGGCGGAGGACAGCTATACGATGGCTAGACGCACGCAAACTTCCATTTCTGAAAAAGATATCGACTATTAGTGGCCAAGCGTGAGCGATCAAAGCACCCTCTTTCTTGACTGAGCGATATATCTCCCTCCTTACCTACTTCAGTATTGCTGCCTACAGGTATTTGGTGGTGGCTCGTGCGATAAGATCGACTTGGTTTTTCGCAGCGACATGTCTTCCGTCCCCACCTTGTTCATCGGACCGACTGGTGCGGTTAGGGGTCCAACACAGAAAAATGTATCAGCATAACGTTTTGAGTCCATTAGTCGATGAGTTGACAGTGTGAAGCATACGTGTACTATCTCCGATTGTATGCGTCTTACCAGCGAGCACTCGATTCCGGTACGACCAGACGTAGTTTCATATCAGCGCGTTCTTTGGTCCGCTCATTAGAGCATCTCCATCCGACTTCCTATTTCCTATTTTTTCTGAGGACTGTGATTGGTGGATCCTATCGTGAAATACGAATAGGTTTGCTATCTCCACCCGTCCAGCCTAGGGGGGGGC